ACGTTTCAACTGACTTTCTGGACAGCCTAATAAAATTAAAGAAAAGATTGGTCTCTGAGATCAAGCTAATCGATACCAACAGCTTTGCTAGAGTTTTTGCGAATAAAACTTTAAAGGAAAATGTTCTGAATAACAAAAGTACTTAGTTAAAGCTTATAGAAAGATCACTTTAATGTTAAATTCTAGAAATCAACAAAGGATTCGATACAAATATTTACTTGTGATCCTTTTCCGAGAAAATCCTGGGTTGGCGCTTTAAAGCGTGGTAAAACTACCGTAGCCCTCCCAAATTGGCGAAGAATTTCTTTTTTTTTCATTCTTATTCATTTCATTTTATTCTTTTTGCGTTTTTCTGATGTGGGGCGTTTGTTTTTGCAGGAAACAAAGAGGATAAAGCTAAGTTACGTTTTTAACAGCATTTTCTATGGCGAAAGCCTTGTTTGTAGAGTTTTTTTTTAGATTCACTTGCTTCCCGACCATCTACTACACGAACTTGATGCAAACTAATGTGAAGTTAAGTGCTTTTATCATTTTCTATGGCGAAAGCTTTGTTTGTAGAGTTTTTTTAGATCCACTTGCTTCTCAACGATCTGCTCCACGAACTTGATGCAAACTAATGTTAGGTTAAGTGCTTTTTATCATTTTCTGTGGCGAAAGCTTTGTTTGTAGAATTTTTTTAGATTCACTTGCTTCCCGACCATCTACTCCACGAACTTGATGCAAAATAATGTTAATTTAAGTGCTTTTTATCATTTTCTATAGCGAAATCTTTGTTTTTGTGACTTTTTAGTTGAAAAAACGTTGAAACGTTGAAGAAAAAAGCAAAAAGAATAAAATGAAATGAACAAGAATGAAAAAAAATGAAATTTCGCGCAAATTGGAGCAATACGGTAGTTTTACCATGCTTTAAAGTGCCAACCCAGGATTTTCTCGGAAATCGTCATCTTCCCTTCACCACCAAAAAAGCTATTTAGTTCCCCATTGAGCTTAGGGTTAGGGAGCCGTCTGTCATGACGTGGGTTAAGTTAAGATATAGCCTAGTATTGTGTGTGTCGTTGTATTGTGATTGATATATTTCGTGTATGCGATAAATTCACCACTGGTAGCCCCAGTCGGTATTTTTGGAAAAAGGTCGCAAATAAATCTTTCACTACAACGATTGCCTTCAACAATCTTTCAAACTCAGAAAGCTACTAAAAATCCTCTAAAGTTCTTAAAAACAGATCAATAACGATTAACGATAACGTAAAACGATTTCGACTTCAAATTACAAGTGTCAAAGATTCAATCCGAAACCAGTAAAAGCTTTTGAGGGCATTTGAGGCCAGCTTTAAGCTCTCTTGAGAACCCAAAAAAGAGTTGAAAAGGAGGAACAGCTGCAAGAGCGTGTGATGAGGCTCAACTAAAAGGAAATGGGAAAGGATCATGAAAAGGGGACAAAATGAGGGGATCAGAGAGACTAAATGAGAGAAAAGAGAGACAACGACTCATCCATTCTCCGGAAGTCTCTTTGGGCATTTTTCTGCCGCTTTTTCGTTCCCAGGCTCTCCCATTGTCTCTCAAAAATATTACAATTAGCTGCTTTTGGAAAAAAACTTGCCAACTACTGGTACTCGTTTCTAGTGTAATGTCATTTCGAAGGGGTAATAAAGTCAAACGAAGCGCTCTGGGGTGGGTGAGTGAGTAAGGAAATTCTAATAACTCTAATCAAACAAGGCATAGTTCAACTTACACTTGTGATTGTTCTGTTAATCTTACATTAGCTTAGAACTACTCTTTTAGAAATTTTTGAGCTCATAAAATCAGTGTATAGACGTTTTTGAGACTTATTTTAATAAAAAGTGTGTACATTTCTTTTCTCAAAAAGCATAGTTCAGCAGCTATTTTCAACAGAGATATTTAACAGCTTTAAACTTCAAAATTTCATTTAGCAACGTCCTTACAGCACTTTTTTTCTTTAACTTTAATCGGTTTATTTGTGCGTTCTTTCCTGTCGCTCACAGGATCTCGTAAACAGCATAATGATTACTGTAGTTTCAGCTATAGTATTCATAGTATACAATACTCTAGTTTCAGCTACAGTATCCCTTTGTAAAGCTATAGAGTCGTGGTCTTCCAATAAAGCTCGAAGCCTGTGCGTTCTTTCCCTGTCGCTCGTTGTGGCGAACTTTTCGCACTGCCATCGATGTATGTTAGATACTTTTGCGAGAAAACTGAGTAGGGAAAGGCACGAACTCAAGGTGAGCTTGTCCAACAAGTGCACTTGTCCAGCAAGTCCATAGAATCGGATATGAGGAATCCGAATCTGAAAGCAAAATCCATCAAATGACGTTCCAGGCGGGTAAAACTTCAATCGAAAATTTGGCGTCAAAACGAATGCTTTAAAGGCCACCTTTCTAGCGGAGAAAGCTTTAAAAGGCTCCTTCCACTCTACGTTGGTAGCCAAATGGATAAAGCATTGGGTTTCCGGTGACAAGATCAGGGTTTGGTTCCAGATGCAGATTTTTGTTTTCATTGCTTTTTGAGCAACTTCTAGCATTTTGTAGCTAATTGCATTATGGTTTTTCTTTTAATTTCTTCGATCGTAGATGGTTTACACAACAGTTTTAAACTTCAAAACTTCATTTAGCAACGGTACAGCATGTTTTTCTTTAACTTTAATCGGTTTAATTGTCATCAATGAATGATAGATACTTTTGCGAGAAAACTGAGAAAGTGTAGCAAAGTATAATAGTGGAATTACAGAATTACAGTTTGAAATGGAATTACAGAATTACAGAAATGCCAGTGAAGGACTTTAAAACATAATTTGAAGTTTTTATGAGATGTTTGATATTATTTGATAGTTCAAAAAAGTGTTTATCTAATTGTTAGAGTTTTTACTAACAATAAGTTTAGGAAGTGGACTATTTAGAGCACAATTTGACAGGCTCGAGAAGAAGCTAAGTAAGAACACTAATAAGCTAAGTAAGAACACTAAGAAGCTAAGTAAGAAGACTAAGAAGCTAAGTAAGAACACTAAGAAGCTAAGTAAGAACACTAAGAAGCTAAGCAAGAACACTAAGAAGCTAAGCACAATTTGATAGGCTGCTAAGTTCTTTGTTCTTTTAGAATATTGGAACAAGCTTTCTTAGATTCTCAAGAGACTCTTTTCCATTATCCTCTACTCATCAAACAATTTGCATTCCATTTCCTCGGCCTCAATCAATCTCCACCAACCCAAAACAGCTGTATGATTCTTGACGGAGTTGGCTTTATGCTGTGCCGAGTTTTGCGGGAAAATGTGAGAAAAAGGCTCAATTGAGTGCAAAAAGAAGGAGCACACAGCTGGATATCTCTTTTCATCAGTCAATCGACAGGGGAAAACGGAAAAGTGTCAGGGTTTTGGGAAAATTCCACACAGATGTGTGTGTGCTATGTGTGCCCAAAAACTCGTCAAAAATCGTCCATAGCTTCTCTTTTTTTTCCGAAAGTGGCTTCTGTTTTAACATAAAATGACATGTCCATCACTTTTTTTGAGGCTTTTCCCTGCACTCCATGACATGTCCATATCGCTGCTGTCCATCTAGGGACTTTGTTGGAAATTTTACAAATCGCTTCTCATCAAAAATTTCAAATCTCATGACTATCAAAGATTTGGAAATGTTTATTTTGGGGAAAAAAAGGCTTTGGGACGCTAAAGCTTAAAACAGCTTAAAATAGAAGCTTAAAACAGCTTAAAACAGCTTAGAATAGAAGCTTAAAACAAAATCCAAACCGCACAATCAAATGTTAGAATTTAACGTTGCTGTTAAGCTTAAAAACTCAAAAATAATAATGATAAAGACAGCATTTTAGCAATACTAATCTGAGTTTTTAGGCTTAGCACTCTAAAAGTGAGCTCTAGAAAAAGCTATCGTAATTCCGATGTTCTTTTTGAGGGAAAGAGTGGCTATTTTTAGCCGTATCTTGAAGAATTGAAACTGATCCAAGACTTTATCGCTGAATATTTTCAAAAAGATGACCGGAGTACGATGATCAACCAAGAAGGTGCAAGAAAACCTACATACTAGCTTTATAGGCTAGTTGGATCGTCACCACCCTGTTCCCTTGACTCAATTCAAGCTTTGAGCACACATGGATGCATATTTTGCTCTTTAGAGTTTCTATAGGGTTACAGGCGAGGCTTCGGGAGCCGGTGACGATTCAAGAAAAGAACGAAGTATAGAATCAATAATCGAGATAGAGCTCCTAGTGGACCATTTTTGATCAGCAGAACTGGCGCTGTGGGATGAACCAAATCTCGGGTTAAAGTGTCGAAGTGTTCACTCATGAGACCCCATGAAAGGCGTCAGTTGATATAGACAGCAGGACGGTGCCCATGCAAGTCGGTAACCGCTAAGGAGTGTGTAACAACTTATCGAATCAACTAGCCCTGAAAATGGATGGCGCTTAAGCGGACCACTTATACCCGATCGTTGCCGACTTGAGCGCGATGCCGGCCTGGTCGCAATGAGTAAGAAGGTTGGGGTGATTTACGTTGAAGGCTTTGGGCGTGGGTTCAGCTGGAGCTTCCATCGGTGCAGATCCTGGTGGTAGATCGAGATATACTCGCTCCCGAGTCTGGACGTAAAACCTCCGGTTTCATGTTATGCGGTTTATCAATACGAGTTTATAAAACACGCGTTTATCACACGCAAAGAAAACGAAACAATAGAGATGTATATAGAGAAAGAGTGGGGTAGATAGTGAGCAACCGCGATGGATCGGATTCAATCAGTGATCGAACCACTCACCATTGCGCCACTTTGCGAATAGAAAAATTTCTCGCGGGGGGGGGGGGATTTAAATAGAGGCCAAAGAGGACAAAAAGATATTCAGTTGAGTTAACTGAATAGCCAAGATCAGACAATTGACCAGAAAAAGGATGCCGAATAGGAACTATAAGACATTAACATTTTACCAGCTAAGATCTTGGCAATAAAGCATTTTGAGATCTTGTTATAAGATTGTACCTTCTAATCACAACCACAAGCAGCCACTAAAAGATTTTCATAACGAATTTGCTTCACGGCGGCTGACGGGGTGTGCAGAAACAAAGTGATGTCATCGTATTGAGTCGGATGGCAACATTGTGGAACTAACTGAAAGTGAGATTTGATGATAGTGATACGTGAAATTTGACTCACATCTTCTGCAAAGCTATCTTTCATGATCTGATGTCTGGAAACTGGGATGTACTCATCGGAATTGGCGTCACGCTAAATTAGGTAAAGAATTAGGTAAAGAATTAGGTAATTTAGGTAAAGATAAAACAAAGCCCAATTTTGTAGAATAGATGTTCTTCCAAATTGATGCTATTTCAAAAAGTATCGACTTTCGAAACTATCGTAATTTTGCTTTGAGTTTTTATCCAATTAATCTACTTTTTCTGATTCTGTAAGGGCTCACAAAGAGCAAGAAAACGTCTAAATCTGTTTTGACATGTCAAAAATAGTTAATTGTTAATTGTTAACTGCATGATTGTTAATTGCACAACTTCCAGTGCAAATGTAGATGTCGAAAGCACGTGGAGCAATCAAAAAGTTCCAATTTTTCATCAGCTAAAATAGCAAATGAATTTGATCAAAAACGAACAAAACGCACACTAAAATCGACTGGCATAGAGCGCAGACAGCAGCCCTCATCCTGAAAATGGTTGATGAGTTCTTTGAATAATGTTTTTAAACATTTGAAAACCAAAACTTTAGTATTTAAAAGTAGAAACTTTGTAGAACAAACCCCATCTGATAGATCACACAACTCTTGTCCCTTTAGCGCCATTAAATGCTTCGTTTTGATCTCGAAGAAAATGTTCTAAAGGGTTTAGCTTGGTTAAAGTGTTTAGCTTAGTTAAAGCATTTAGAGAAATCTTAAGCGCATTTAGAGAAATCTTGCATCATAAAAGCTTTTGATTGCAAGGAACTAGACTGCTTCAATCTTCTGAAACTTTAATCGGCCACCTACAGTTGTTTGTGAGTCAAATCTCTGTGCGATAGTCGTTTTCTTAGCATTGAAATAGAACAAGATCTCAAGCTCGATTTCACCAGAGCCAATCTTTTGGAGCAATCTGAATACAAATTGTTTAGATTTCAATAAAAACATACGGTTGAAAATCTTGTGGAGAAAACTTTGCAATTTGTTCGTTGTTATTCAAGGTGGGGATATGCCCGAGCTCAGCAGAACCAAAGAGGTTTCTTCCCTGAATAACAATTGAGGGTAAAATTGTATAAAGAAAATTTTGGTTCGGTAATTTTTATGATCAGAATACAGTCTTTAGCATAGATCAGACAATTTAGTTAAAGGAAAACTTTATTTTAAAGTTCATTAATGTTCATTAGGTCGCGGGAGAGACAACTTGATCACCATCACCTCTTTAGACTTTGTGTAAACAACGACTAACCTCTTTAGACTTTGTGTAAACTTCAACACTCGCCGGAGAATCAATTGGAGATTTGTCGAAAATAATTGAAGCTTTCACTTCTACGATTCTTCTTTTCAGAACCTAAACTTTTTATGACCGCATTCTTTAACCGCTTGACTACCTGTTCAGGAATTGGTAAAAACGTTCGCGAATAGTTCGCATTGGATGAAACGGCTATGTGAAATGTTTCAAAGATTTCCTTTGGTGGCGCTAAAGTTCTTTGGGGGCTTAAGGTAAAGAGTTAGACTTCAACAACTAACCCACTGGTGGTTTCCTCTCTTGTAAATACTTGATCAACTTGGCGTTTTGTTCAAAAAAAGTCTCATTGATGAACGGTGGTTCCAAATGACCAAGTGATTGCAAGATCCTTGTTTTTACCTAAATATTATTTTTTTGAATAGTGCTTTAACTCAAGTAGTGCTTTAACTTCCTTCACATTTGATAAAGCAATTTTTAGTCTAGCAATGGTGCTCTCATAACGGATACCTAAATTCTTAACAGCTTAAAGGAGGGGTTCGAATTGAGACCGATTCTCATTGGCCAGCTTATAGCTAGTGTCATACAATTGCTATAGCAGGATTTCAACATTTATACTTACAACAAAATCAAGCCAAATTAAAGGCAAAAAGCTCTTTCCAAAAATTTGGGTATAGTGACGCTCAAAAAAGCCAAAACTGGCTCAGTCGCTCATTGCTCCTTTCCGTTACGGATTCCAAAAGGGAAACATTTTATACCAGACGGGTATGCCAGATGACAAGCGATTACGCAGGCGTACAAAGAACACCGCGTCAGTCATTTGCATAGTAATTCTTCTTTTGTATTCTAGATGGCACAAAAAGAATATATTGAGCTATACCGGGGGTTTTCGGGGTCGGGATCTATTGGAGCTATCCATTCTATTGATTCTACTAATTGAAACTCAGATCTAATTTATCTAAACTTTTAGATTTAGTGAGAACCTTGAGAGTGAGAGTTTAGTGAGAATCGGTTCTAATTTTGACCTCTCTTTTAAGAGATATGATAAAAACAAACATTCAACCACTATATTGCTTAGCGATGTGATTTGTACTCGATCCTAGTACTAAAATCTGAACATAAGAAGCTAGTCAAACCTGATTTATTCGCTGCTCTTCTTGATCCTTTAAGTACTTCTGAACTTTTCCACAAAAAGAAGCACGCAAGTTGATGAAAGATAGAAATAATAAAAGAATAGAAGATAAGCTCATAAAATTGTTGAATATATTGATTATTGTGGCTTTGTGCGTTTCTTTTGATCTTTATAATAACGAGATTTTCCCACTACCTTGCCAGTGGTGAGCCAATTACTTAGCACAAACAAAAAAAATTTCTTTGTTTTATTTGATAACACCATAAATACCATGGAAAGTGATACAAATTGCGGGAAATTGGAATGAATGAACTAAAATTTAAAGTATTTTAAAGCTAGAATCGAATCAGAGATCAGTATACTCATAAAACTAACATTATCAATCCAAAGATAAATATTCACAATCACCAAACTCTACACCGTTTTTCATTGACCATTTTCGAGGTCTTAGGACAACTGAAAGCTTCAGCGAATTCTGGGGAATTTCCTAGAACGACGTTGACACGAGCTCTATCCGGACTGTGGGTATCCTCAAGTGTCTCGGTGAGTAGAGTCTCGTTTCTCCAGTTACCACACCATGACTGAAAGGTTTGGATACGGTTTCAACGGATATCTAGGACAAAGCTGGCTTACTTAGAGAGTAAATCGAATGAGTTAGACATTGAATTGTGAACAAAAAAAAGGGCAAAAAGGCTTTATCCTTGTTCGGGTATGGATACGAGCTAGAGTCTGTTGCATGAGCAATAACGTACTCAATAATCTGGTTGCATTTAAATTTAAATCGAACTTTCGACTTACAATTATGTTGCTGTCTAAAATTTTAGAATTACACGATTTCTAAGATCGTTGCCAAAAACAACTCAAAGTTTAGCTATTAGGTTGAGTACTAAGTCTTTGACCTAAATTCATTTTCTAATTGACTAAGTCTCAAGCTATCAAATGAAATAGGGTTTTTTTTTCATTAGATAGCCCAATCATTTCTCTTGCAAATGACTTTGAAAATTTCTGAAAAGTTTTGTTTTGAAGGTTTTTCATTAGCAAGAGGTCGAGCGTTCAAAAACGACAAAACCGTTTGGTATTTGGTAGTTTGAGATAATTAAATAATGAAGTTTGAGTTTGAGATGATTAGATTTCATTTAGATTTCATTTAGATTTCATTTAGATAATGAAATGAAGGCCGCAATACTTAGTCTTCAACTTAATATAATAGTAGATCAGTTCTTCTAAACCTAACTCGAAACTCACAAGATGAGCTACGAAAGCTCAAAAAAATGAAGCCAATTAATACCCCTATAGGGTTGCTCTTTAAAACTTACAAATGCATAGCTCATGAAGAAAATCTGCAACGGTGAGTACTTCCGAAGGGCAATCGGTATATTCTCGGTGTCAATTTTCTTCTCATTGATCAACTTCTGCACCCCTCTCAAAGCTGATCGAAGCCCTCCATTGTCGGCTATGTTCTCGCCAAGTGTTTTGTACCCATCAATCTAAACTTTCCATTGGCTATTTATCAATTTCAGTTAACGCACATAAATGTTGAGCGGTTCGATTTTCGTGTGTCCGTATTGTTCCACGAAACATTGCTTCATTTGTTCGTAGTTCGTGAGGGTTTTTGCGTCCCACCAGTTTTTCTTGTTGCCTAACTCGTCGAATTGTGAGCCTAAAGACAATTGATGAAAAAGCAGCTAGAGTAAAATTTTGGCTAATAGCAAGATTGAAAATTATAGCTTAAATCGATAAAAGTTTCAAATCTTTTCTAACCATAGTTATCAAAAACCTAACCATAGTTATCAAAACTAACCATAGTTATCAAAACCATGCGTAATCTCATGCCCAATTACCACCCCGATTGAACCATAATTTTGTGGTCTCGAGAATTTCGGATCAAAGAAAGGCGGCTGAAGAATCCCGGCAAGTATTGCTGAATCTATGGGATTACCGTCGTGCAACAAAACAAACCAATCTGATTCCGACTTGGATCGTAATAGGCATTCACTTGACTGGCCAAAAAGTCGAATGACCATTTAGAATTGGGCACAAGAAGGCTCTCATACGCACGTTGTTGACTCCATTTTGTGATCGCGTTGCTGATTCCCTGCATGGTGAGTGGAGCTGGGTAGTCTAGCTGAAATCGGATTTGCAAACTAAAGATCTAATAATGTTGACCAAAGTCCGTCCTTGCTGCCTAGTCTGGCCGACAAAAGTCCCTAGACCTGTCAGAAGCCAGGCACAAGCATGAACTTGGATTCTGTCTGGCTCTGGTTCGGTCTGCCGACCTAGAAATAGAAAAGCCATGACAAATTCAGCTAAAACTTTGGTGATAATCGTAACTTTTTTGCGCCCTATCTTATATCTTTGTCTTATGACATAAGATTATATTTCTTTGGCTAAAAACTCCTCGAATTGTCAATGTATCAAATTGTCCTTAGGCCTTTTCTGCTTTTGATCCCTCAACTTATTGCTCTCTAAAAAGCATCAAATGGAAGGCTTTTCTAGGCGTTAAAAGCTACTTTTAGAAGATCAATAAGATTTTAAAAGATTATTCTAAAAGTTTTATAAGTTCCTGAACTATCTTTGTTTTTTTCTGAGCTACATCTTCGTCACGCAATTCAGGCCGAAACGATGATGGAGTTATGGTAATCTGGTAAAGAAATGGTAAAAACTGTAAGTAAATCGAAGCATCAGTTGTTTCTAAAAACCAAAGAGTAAGCGATATCAACATATTGTACTCAACCCAATAACTATCAAGAACACTCACTAATTCATATTTCTCAGCAATCGACGTCGCGTTGAATATTGTTGGATTGTAGCCGATGAACTCCATCATCCTTTCGGCCTAAATTGAGTGACAAAGATGTAGCTAATGGTTTAGAAGCTTATAAAACTTTTAGAATAAATTTAACACATTTAGGACGAGGTTTTTGATTTTTGCGTAAACTATTTTCCTTTCAACTCGTCTAAAAACGTTCACAGGCAACCGATTCACTTAAGTTAGGGGTGAAAATGAAGAGAGATCTTCACGGATCACTTATCTGAAAACAGATTAAAGAAATATTGAGTTTAAAGAAAGTTCGGAATGAGAAAGCATGAGAAATTTTCTGGGTCACCGGTGACCCGGGAATTAATTTGCTTTGCATTCAAAGGTTCATAACTCACTTCAAAGAAATAGTTTTTCAAACAGTTTCCAGATAAATGGTCCTCAAAGATTTCTCTTCATTTTGACCCCTAATTTAAATAAATCGGTTGCCTGCAAACGTTTCTAGACGGGCTGGAAGGGAAATAACTTACACAAAAATCCAAAAACCTCGTCGTGCATGTGTTAAAGCGCAGCTTCAAGATCCATAGCCAACCTTTAACCTAGCTGCGGCTTTTGTTTTGTTGTCCATCCAGTCAGTCTCTTCCAAAATCTCAATGAACGAGTTTCTGATGTTTTTCACCATCATCGAAACTTCATCGACGCTTTTTTGAGAGAAATACCTAAATTTCTTATTGATGCACTGAGTTCTTATTGAGTTTAAAAACCGTTCAATGTAAAGAGCTCCAGCTACATCGGAAAAACTTCGACCGAAGCATTGATACAATCTTCTTCAGTACTGTCTTTCGTTTTTACTCCGTAGATTCTTTGATTTAGTTTCTAAACATGATAAAGTCATCTAAATTATTGTGCTCTTAATATTGTCAAGTCAAAAATCGGCCAAGTTCTGTCAAGTTAAAGTTCCAAGTGAAAGTATTCAGCAGCTGAATGCCTCTATTACTGTAGCGAGAGAAAATTTGACATTTTATAGTAATTTTACGGTTTTTTCACGATTCTACCCACATTGTAAGCATCGAGAAAACGATCATCCAAATAGGGAAGCAGTGAGAAAATGATCTAGACTCAAATTCGTAAACAGCTCAAAGATCTCTTACCTTTCCTTCCAAAAAATCAGCTAACGTCTGATTTTGAACACTGAGCACAAATTCGTTGACCATTTTTATCCCATCAACATTTCGCAAACGAATATTCATTTTTGACAATGACAGCTTTTCTTGAACAGATTTCGGAAGAATAGCTTCAAAATAACGAGTGAAATTGACCTAAAAAGGATTTGGTTCAACAAAATTTAATATCTGAAAAGTATTGACTCACCGCAGTGATCAAATCCGAGACCTCAGGCAGTTTGACTGAAATATCCGTTGTGTTGTCTTCGAGAAACAATGAGTCAATCTAAAATGTAAATTTGGTCTAACAAACAAAGCATAACTACCAAAGCTACAAAAGGCTCAAACCTCGGCCATTCTTCGATCGATCGCAAAATAATTTCGGAGCTTTCGTTCACTTTCCTTAATGGTTCCATCAAAGAATTCCCTTTTCACATCATCTTTGCTCAAGAAACCATAAATTTCTCTGATGAATGTATAACCTTCAGTGAGTTGGCTCTGAAAGCTTTATGTATCAAAAATGAAAACAAGAAAAGTGTAACCGCGTTACGGTTCCAAATATCCAAATTCTAGGTTGAAATCTTAAACTCCTAAATCTTTTAACACCGAAAATCTAATTCTAAATTAAATCCTTAATTGCCAGAGGAGGAACAACAACAACAGGAACAACAACAACAGGAACAACAACAACAGGAACAACAACAACAACAACAACAACAACAACAAGAATAACAAAACGCTTGGTGGTTGGGTTGGATTGATTCGCGTTTATAGAGAAAAGATGTTTAGATTTTTAATAAGTTTATCGGTGATATGAAAGATAGGGGACTAACAAAGTGGAACGACCGGGAAAAGTACAGAAACTCTAAAACTTTAACAATTTTAAAAGAAACAGGAAAAGAGGGGTGGAAACAATAAAAGAATGAAGGAAATTTTAACAATAAACAAAATTTTATAACGGAAAAGAGAAAGGGGAACATACACGAGCAAACGATAACGAATTAAGACACGGCGAAGCGCCAAACCGGGCAACTATTCTTTAAAAGAATGAACTTTGAAGGAATGAGGAAAAGGGAGACGCAGTTTCGAGTACGATAGTTTAGGTGTGTTTTAGAATTTAGGGTTGGAAAGTTTTCAACCCTTACTCGAACTGAGGTTTTACTAAAGTTCTATTGTGAACTATCGTTTTAAAGAATTTTTCTAAGTCTTGACGGACTAGTTTGACTGAAAAGTAGCTTTACTTGACAAAATTTGCAAAACAAAAGTCAACGCACCTTAAACTAATTCCGAGAAGTGCTATTTACGAACCAAATTCGGCAATTTTTCAACCATTTACCCTATTTTCTCTAATAGTAGTGCACCCTGAGCGTCGCCTAAATGGCTCGAAATCTCAAAAACCGCTTATCAGAACCTATCGATGTGGGGTCGGAAAATGTGGCTGACGATGAGATCTAGTGGGGGATTTGAGTGTTGAGCTTCTGCAAAAAGCTTGGAAACCGTAAAATCGTCACTAACTCGGCTCGGCGCGGTGCACTACTATTAGAGAAAATACGGTATACATTTTGATGTAAGATAAAGCTTACACCTTATAATTCGGATCCGTGTAGTATTGAATCTCGATCATCGGTTTCTCTGGGCTGATCTGAACTTTAGTCTAACAAGTACATGTGCTCTCAATTACCGTAATTGTGTTTATAGTCGAGTTGTAGACGTCCGGCTCAACAGTAACTGTGAAAAAAACTTGTTCCGGTTGAACAAAGATCAGCCAATCGGTTAAATAGGGTAAAGTTGCTGCTTGAATTTTTCTGTAAAGAATTCTTCACGAAATGGAATTGAGTAGAATTCAATGATTGAATTGAGCTATTCAGCTAAGGTAACAAATTGGTGAAACAAATCACAAAAAGCGTTAGGATTTGGTTTTAGAAACGTGAATGTATCTTTGTACAACAATAAGAAAGCCATTTTTAATTGGCAATTGATGACACAAAGGGATATTAAGCTATTGTTTAACACTTGCTTACCGTAACTTAACTTACCTACGATTAACTTACCGTAATTTCGAAAATAGAGGCTCTGATCGAAGCTTGTTCCTCTCTTCTTTATCAATGCATTTTTCATAAAAATCATGCATCAATTTTCGTTCCCGAGAAACTTGAAACAGTTCTGGTTTGATGAAAAGATCTAAAGTGATTCGATTGACCACCTCAGCCAGTTTAAAGTCCCTTGTTGGAGTATAAAAGTTGTAGACAGATTTAGGCTTTCTAATTACTACTTTAAAACAAGTCTCACAACAGAACAGTTGTCAATTTTATACAGGGTGACCAGAAATAACCCGTCCTTTTTTTCTAGACTCATATTTCTGCTATTTGTAGACGAAAACGATTAATTTCTTTTTTAAAATGAAAATTTACATTGTTTTCTGTATATGTTCAAGATTTTATGATCATAGCATCAATAGAGAATTTTTAATGAACGTTTAAAAATGGTTGATCAACAACAAAATGGTTGATCAACAAAATAAAGTTTCAAATTTGGATTTTTTGAAAAAACCCTACAAAATAATGTTTTTCTTTGCAGTTTTTTTCTAAGAGCAAAGTTTTTGTTATGTTTAAGTAGATTTAGTTCAAAAAAATATCAAATGCGTTAATATTTTCTATAAAATCATCGATAAAAGAACCCTAAATTTGAGTTCAGGCTCGTTTTGAGATTTTTTGACCAGCTATTTTTGAGTATTCATAAAAAATTATCTATCAATGCTATGGTCATAAAATTTTGAACATATACAGAAAACAATGTAAATTTTCATTTAAAAAAGAAATGAATCATTTTCGTTTATAAATAACAGAGATATGAGGCTAGAACGGACTATTAGGATGGGTTATTTTTCGTCAATCTGTACTGGTTTTCTTTTGTACTCTACTCTTTTATTATTTTGCAAATTACTGTTCAAAGGTTGTTTAATGCTTGATTATTTGATTAAACTCAGTGAATTTCTAGTCAGTGTAACCAAAAATTCAATTCTCACCATAATATCTTTGTAGCACAGTGGCGCCCAGATGTTCTGTGGTCGATGTCATGAAGAGAGTCTCATCAATTGGATGCTTCTTTTTCCAACCGGAACAGACGAATTTGTAGAAATCATCGCATGGATCAAGAGTTGAATCAATCGAATCCTCCAAACGAGAATGTGAGTCTCGTTGGGACAAATCCGGTCCAAGAGTGGTTAAATCTAGATTAAATCTAGAGTAAAGCTTTGAAGTTTTTGAATTTAGACATCAATAAGAGGAAAAGCTTTGTCTTGCTTTGTCTAAATGTCTAAATTGTCTTTTGTCTTTTGTCTAAATGTCTAAATTGTCTAAATTCGAATTCTTATTTCTTATAGTTTATCAAAATTAAATTTAAATGACATAAAATTTAGTTTTAAATGAAAGAATTGTTGAGCTTTTTGAAAGGAAGTTCGAAAGGAAACGGTTTGAAATGAAAAAAGAACCAAATCTTTCTACATTGGACATCTTATTTTAAATTATTTTATTTCATTTTCATTTTAAATTCTATATTCTATTTGATATTCTATTTTATATTCTATTTTAAATTCAAATTTTATAATAAAATATTATACTAAAGAAGTTTCTAAAGAAGTTTCTAAAGAAGTTTCATTATTTCCCAAGCAATCAACGGTAAAAGAACGCAAAAGACTGCGAAAAGACAGCCGTTCTCTGTGCACCCCCATAATCGCGCGCTTTCTGGCACACGGCCCGAGAGGGGGTCATAAAAAGGGGCGACTCGGCTATTTCCCTGTCGGTGCTCTGTTTGTTAGTCTAAATTCGATCGCGCATTATGTAGCTCGCAGTATCTTTAGACGACCGGCACCTCCCGATGCCTCTTCTCGTGAAGAGCTGCCCGGTAGAAGGAGCCAATCGAAAAGTTGAGCCACAAAAGGCACTCTCTAAATTCCCCAGCACCGGCAATGAAGAGTCCAAGGGGACCACTTTTTGCTGATTTTGTGAGAAGTCGAAATTTTAGGAGGGAATTTTGAGTAAAGTTAAATATTTTGCGAAAGAAAAAGGCGCAATTTTAGAATATTTAGAACATTAAGCTGAAAAATTTAAAATAATCACTACGGAAAGTTGAAAATAATCACTAAAAGTACAATGTCGGCCAGTGAGTACCATTAGTTCAATTTTGAGACAAAAACAGTTCAAACTGTACTTGTTTTCTCAGTTTTCTTATTGTTAGACGAGTAGTCAATGCTTTTCGCCGAGAAAACAATATTTGAAAGCACTTCCGTTCCATTAATCACGAATTTCTTCGGAATTGAGATCGTCAAATTTTCGGCCAAAAGACGAGCACCCGGATCAAGTTTTAACAGTTCACCGAGTTTTATTCTAAATTCATTTTGCATTGATTTAAAAAAACCTCTTACGAATCAGTGTCTTCAGCGGAATTGACGCAAAATTTCACGATCAATAAGAGGAAAAGCCTCATTCAGACGAATAAACACTGATGATCGCGTTTTGTAATTCGACTCTCACTCCCGAAAAAGTGAACCCGTTGAACAAAGTGGGCGATTTGACAGAATTTTTGGTGATTCAAGTTTTTTTTTGTGCGCAAATCTCGAGCGATTTGGATGAACAGTCGACGAAAAAAAAAGAATGGGGCGGATCCGCGCCTAAATCGCTTACCGGTTTCGGCCACGCTTCGCTCGTTTTTTTTTTGAGTCATCTGACAGTGTCGAGATTTGTTCTGAGAATGACATGAGAATAAAAAAATGTGTACTTGTTTGTGAAATTGAAAACTTTATTGAAAAATAAATGATAGCCAATAAAATTTGAAACAATTTGGTTGAAAAAATGTCCCAAAATTTCAGAACAATTCAATTCTTCGGAAGGTTGATTTTAAAATTAGACTCAAAATGCACTTTTGTGCTAATTTAATCCATTTTCGTTTGAATTTAAGCAAGATTAAATAAAAAAGATTAAAAGAAAGAGAACGGTTCGATCGATTGGATTGTTCTGAAATGTTGAGAAACTATGTAATCGATGAAGCGTTTTATTTTAAAAAGTATGCCTTGCCCATTAGCGCACCTTTTTTCGCGTTTTAAAAAAGCTCTAAAAAGCTAATATTAACCAATTTCTATTCCAAAAGTTGTTTTTCTAGGTAATTTTAGGGCGTAGAATCGAAATTTTGACATATCAGAGCTTGTGGAAGCGAACGGACAGAGTTATACAAAGAGAAAAATCGACAATTTTCTGTAATTTGATCTAGCCGTTTTGTCTTTCAAATTGGTTCCACACGCTCTGTTATGTCAAAATTTGAATTCGACACCCTCAAATTACCTAGAAAAACAACATTTGGAATAGAAATTGGTTAACATTAGCTTTTTAGAGCTTTTTTAAAACGCGAAAAATGGTGCGATAATGGGCAAGGTGCGGAAAAAAAGGTCACATTTGTCCCACTCCCAAGAATGACCCAAAAATGACGAGACCCGGACTATATATGAGACTTTTTGAAGATACTCAGCCGTTTAACTGATTTGGTGGGAAATTCCCTTCCACTGTAAAAATTGATTTTTTGAAAAACCTGCGCAAAAGATTGCTTTTATATTTTTTTTCGCGCGGGCGCACTTATTAGCAAAGCTATTAGCAAAACACTTTTTAGCAAAGCTATTACAATAGGCGGAAATCCGAATTTAGAAAGGGTACAAGTGTTTTCAGAATTTTTATGGGTAAAAATTGACTATCATTGGCTATCATTGGTTGTTATCATTGGCTATTATCATTGGCTATTATCATTGGCTATCATTGGTTATTATCATTGGCTATCATTGGCTATTATCATTGGCTTTAAGCTAATAATGTTTAACATCCTTTGAATGCTAAATATTACTAATTTCAGAACATTCTCTTCACTCAATTTTTTTTCTTTTTATTCATTGTTATTGGTTGTTGTTATTGACATTCAACATTGACCATTTGACCAAGTTGAATCGAGACAATCGGATAGTATTTTGAGTGAGTGGACAGTCAAGTGTTGGACAAATAAATGTCAAAAAAACAGATCGGGTCAAAAACAGATCGAATGCAAATTTTGCGATTTGAAAGTGTCAGTCTTATTGTTAGACTAGTGCATAGATGACTCAACAAGATACATAAAACTTAAAAAGAAAGATAAACTAAAAATATATTAGAAATGTTTTAAGTTTTATAAGTTTTAACTTCCGAATCAAATCAAAATCAAAATGCCGTGGAATCTACTGGAATCTACTGGATAAAGAAAGACAATGTGTCTCCAGTTTTCAACGCTCTCGACAGAAACATTCTTCATGCGGCTATTCCCTTGTCAACTTCAGCTACAAATAAAGATCAAGCTGATAAGTCGGATGAGGGTAAGCAATTTGAAGCTTTGTCCAATTGTATGTGTCCAACAGACCACCCAAGCTTTGTCCAATTGTCCAATTTTAGTTGGAGAATTTGGTTTGAACTATCAGGTTGGCCGGAAAGTCTTTTCTGCTTTTTTAAAAGCTTACTTTTGAAATGAATCGATCTATGGTTTATTTTACCAATCGATCTATGATTTATTTTATCAAAAATCCTATTATTTCATTTCAAAAAGACGGATAAGACTTTCCAGCAATATCGAAATTTGGCCTATTGATAAGTGTGTTTCCTTTTTAGCATTAAACTTGTACAGAAAGAGCTCTAAACCTCGTGACTGGCCCCCATAAATATCAGGTTGACCGGAAAGTCTTGTCCGCTTTAAAGCTTACTTTTTAAAATAAATAATAAACCAATCGATCTATGATTTGTTTTATCAGAAAGTTCAATTATTTATTTGCAAATTCCCTTAGAAGAAATTCTGAAAAGATCGCGTTAGTTTGTTTTTTTAAAGATGTGAAGTCGAGCAGTTAAAAACGATGAAACTCAGCACTTTTTGTCGCAGAAATCTTTTTTGTTTCAAAAGATAAAAGATAGAGAATGAAAAGTTAAGCAGATAGACAAATTTTCATAAAACTTCACTAAGCCATTTTCATTCTATGTTCATTGTAAAGATTTTTGAGAAAAACAAGAATTCCTGTCGAGATTTGACTCAAATTGACTCAAATTGATTCAAATTTGACTCAAATTTGACTCAAATTGACTCAAATTTGACTCAAATTTGCCTAAAAATGAGCTAAATGAAATGGTTAATCATTCTTATTTAAAGAAAATCACACGTTGATCGGTTAATTATTCAAATCATTATTCATTTATTCATTCATTTATATGAAAATTTCAAAAAATCTGACAAGAAGGGACTTTCTGTCCAAACCAATATCTATAATAGCTATTGGATCTACAAGTAGAAGTCATAATTGACAAACTGTATTGTATTGTATTGCATATTGTAGTATTGGATTGTATTGTAAATTGCAAATTTTGACAAACTCTCCTTTCAGCGTTGAACCATGTAACACTGACTCCTGAAAGCTTTTCACCTTCTCTCAATTCACAACAATTTTCTGAAAGGTGAAAGCAGTTATCAGAGCTTTCGGTTTCGCTGATAAATTTACGAGTGCCACTGGCCACGCTGGATATAAAGCGAATTCCTGAAGTTCTTATCAAAATTTAAAAGTATTTTTATTTGACCACATGTACAGAAATTATTTTTGAACGTTTTTAGAGGTCACATGAGGAGGCTCGGGTTATTAGCGGTTTGTTTGGCGTTGGCGAGATGTTGCTCTTGGGATGTAAGGAATTTTGAAAGTAAAACTTTGCTATTAAACGTTTGAAACTTTAGAAAATCCAAGTTGTATTGGAACCGTATTGGAACTGTATTAGATCAAAATGGGAACCGTATTGGAACCGTATTGGAACCGTATTAGATCAAAATAGGAACCGTATTGGAACCGTATTAGATCAAGTTTTACAAAGTTTTACAGTTTTCTTTCAAGAATCCAAGTTTTGTTTGATGAATAGTTTGATTTTAATGAGTAAAAGTTACTTGTTAGAGCTAATTTTATTTATTTTGTCGATATTTGGTGTAATAGACAAGTTAAGAATCTGTAAACAGATCAATTTTAACCATAGACAGTTCTAGGGTGATCGATTTTAACAAAAAAAACTTTAGAATTGTAACCCAGTATCCACTGATCCGAATGTTTTGAATGTTCACTTGATTTGCCACAGTCACGACGATTTGGGATGGCTGATCACCGTTGATCAGTACTATGAGAGAGGTGTGACTGCTGAAATTCTCTAAGCTTGTTTTTTCAGAAGTTCAATACATCTACGACACAGTGTTGCAAGAGTTGGAAAAAGACTCAACAAGGAGGTAAGCTTACAAGCTACAGCCTTCAATTGGAATTGGAATTAAATTGAAATTGGAATTAAATTGGAATTGGAATTAAATTGGAATTGGGAATGAGGGAATCGCGAAATTTGAAAAGAATTTGAAAATCTAGATTCTCTTTTGCTGAAACTGGTTTCTTCATGCGATGGGTGGAGAGTCGAAACTCGAGTATTCTAGCAAGATGGCAGAAATTGGTGGCAGCAGGTGGGTGAATGCTGTTTGATAAAGTAAATAAAGAACAACTAACTGGCTACAGACTAGATTTGTTGAGTTTAAGCTTTCTTTTAGCTTTCTTTAAGATTTCTTTAAGCTTTCTTTAGGCTTTCTTTAAGCCTTCTTTAGGCTTTCTTTAAGCTTTCTTTAAGCTTTCTGTAGAGTTTATGGAACTTATGCCTATTCCTTAACTATGGAACTGAAATGGACAAACCTTTTTGAGACCTCTTTGCTTCTACTATTTCGGTATTGCTAGCCATAAATGTTGAAGGATTTAGTTTAATTGTTATAAAAGTATTTAGTCATTCTGTTATTTTTTGAATAAGCCATTTGTAATAAATCGAACCTTTTTGAGAACAAATAAATTTGAATCCTTTTTTCTATAATTTTAGCTGCAAAATAGCAAAAAAAGTTCGCGGTATCAAACCAGGAAACAAAAATGCATAGGTACTGATCACAGGTGCCCACACTAACCACTAGGCTACGAGACACTTTTTCAGACCGAGCATTTGGACCTTTTATACTTGACAAGTGTGCCAGAAATTTGAAAAAACCTTTCAAAAATCAGGAACTTTGAGGCGATTTTTCTCAAAAATTTTGTCTGTCTGGCACACCGGAGACCTACTTTTTCGGATTCAGGAAATTTTTTCCAAGAAAATGGGTGTTGTCGTTTGGCCAACGGCGGTGGTCAATCTGTGTGCATTTCTAGTAAGGACAGTACAGTCCAGGGTGTGGGAGAATTATGGTAACTTTATCAATTTATTGAACCTAACTCAGTTCTCGATGCCTCAAATCAAATAGCTCTTTTTTTGCTAGTACATTCTGAGTTATTTGCTTTAGGAAAAACATTATTGGACAAAGGGAATTGTTTCCTAAAAGTTCTGATGACTATTCAAAGTGCAGGGAATTCCCGGCCACAGAATTCCCGGCCACTACGAATCGTTCTAAGATTCTATTTAGGGTTACAATTGCCGAAAAACATGAACATATTCAAGAAGTAGTCATAAAAGATTGAAATTAAATCAAAGAAATGGTTCTTTTCTTGCGCAAATTTCTAACCACCTAAAAATTGTGAAATCTCACCATTCGGCCGAGAATTCCCTGCACTTTGAATAATTATCAGAACTTTTAGGAAACAGTTACCTTTGTCCAATAATGTTTTTCCTAAAGCAAATAACTCAGAATATACTAGCAAAAAAGAGCTATTTGATTTGAGGCATCGAGAACTGAGTTAGGCTCAATAACTTGAGTTTCCATAATTCTGCCGCACTCTGTACAGTTAGTGTGGCGGGTGAGCTCTAAACTGGTCAAATACAATAAGCTTAAAAGTCATCGAAATATTAAACATCTCAATTTCTAAGTATTTAACCAGTTATGCAACTTTAAAAGTGACAAAATGGCTCACTTTTCACTTCTAGGACAAGCCGAGGCGATCGGTGGAGGATGGGTGCAAAATGATGAGGCCACCGCTCACTATGTTGACATTATTGATCAAATGACATTGGGGTAACGAAGAAAAATTGGCCTAAAACTCTAGAAAAACTCGTAAAAACCTTTATTTTAGTTATGAACACCTGAAAAGCCTCTTCGGAGAGTGCGGCGCCCCACAAGCAGCCTGGCAAATTGACCCGTTCGGGCACAGCCGAGAGTTCGCCAATCTTGCAGCTCAGGTAACTCACTCATAAGGCAAAATTTGATTTGTATTTGATTTGATTTGATTTGCTTTGATTTGTAGACTGAAATCTATTAAAAAATTATCAAATTTCTTGTAGATGGGCATGACTTCATTGTGGTTTGCCAGAATTCACTACTTGGATCGAACCCAGCGTCGCACTCAGAAGAATCTCGAGTTCAACTGGGTCGGAAACGATGAACAGAGTATGGGAATTTCTTTTTGATTTCTGAATTAAGCCATTAAGCCAGCCATTAAGCCAGCCAATAAGCTAGCCAATAAGCCAGCCAGCCAGCCAGCCATTAAGCCAGCCATTAAGCCAGCCATTAAGCCAGCCAATAAGCCAGCCAATAAGCCAGCCATTAAGCCAGCCATTAAGCCAGCCATTAATCCAGCCAGCCAGCCATTAAGCCAGCCATTAAGCCAGCCAATAAGCCAGCCAGCCAGCCAGCCAGCCAATTTAATATAAAAGTCAAAAATTTGCTTACAAAAAGCTTTAGAAAAATCGATTTTCACGGGAAGCTTCTATTCTCATTATGGCCCACCAGACAATTTTTGCTTTGACTCTGGATGTAATGATGAGGAAATCAATGTAATTTTTGCTACAAAACACTCAGTCATCTAGACTGAATGTCTTTACTTTCACGTGAAGAGTTTAAGAGTTATTTTACTGTACTGATTAAAAATCAGATAATCCAACTTAGGATGGAAACGTTGACCGACGATCTCGACAATTTGCGGATGAAGTGAAAGCACAGGTAACTTTTGTGCACAATTTACGAAAATTAATGACTAATTGGAATACTGTAGGGTTCAGTCTTTTATCTAACTTCAATAAATCTAAATCTAATAAATCTATATAAAAGAGTGTCTGTCTGTCTGTACGGGGATTTTCTCAGTCGTGTTTTGACCAATAAAGCTAAAACTTCTTTAGAAAATCTTAGAATATCTTGTAGTTGTGCCACTTAGAGAAAATTTAAAAAATCAAGGTTGGGGGAAACATTCGGGAGTCGAACCCGGACCGTGTGGGCCGTAGACAAGCGCGCTCCCGACTCTGCGCGCTCCCGACTCTTCCACGACGACAGAAACTAGCTTAGCATGAAAAACCCGGCGTTTTTTTTGCCTGGTCGGAATATAAAGTAGGCAATCAGCTTGACTGGTCAGATGGCAAGCTTGACTGACCATACGATTGCCTGGTTTAAATTGAAGAGGTGACAGACCATCCAAACTTGAGCACTGACAACGAATACTATAAATTATTTGTCCCAACGCAGTGCAATAATGTAGAAACTGTACTTTCAATAAGTATTATAAATATGGAAAATATTCTAATAGAAGCTCCCCGATTGTCCACGTTTTAGTGGGCAGAAAGTCGCAAAACGTCATTTTTAACTTAAAAAGGCATCAAGTCTTCGCAGAGTTGATCAATTTTTGTTTTTTTGGTATCAAAATGATCTTTGTACACGTCCACACAAAAGTTATCGGTTTCGAGGGCGCAATCTTTCGACCACGCTGAAAACGAGCCGCCGAAAGTTAGTCGCGGCGAGCGAGTTGATTGAAAAAGTGCGATTTTTCGATAAAACGCGATTTTAAAAAATCGAGTCAGACGGATTTCGATAATTTCTTCACCATTCGATTCAGCACAATTTTCTGCGTCGGATGGATACTTAACGTGAAATTCTGATAGAGAACGTTTTTTGCCTTATTTCACGCGGATTTGCCCCTCCCCCTCTCTGTAGGAGCGTCACGTAGCGTAGTTTAAGTTTACTCTCAAACAAACGCTCATATCTCGACACTAGTGCGTTTATTTCTGCGCACTTTGGTATCAAATTAAAGTAGAGAGAATGGGTGATTTTTTGAGATATAACACATATTTTTAGCATTAACCAGGGCTTAGAAAAAAAGATGGAAAAATGATGAAAAATCGGCTTTTTGTTATGTCAAAAAGGCAAAAGAAAAGTGGCAAAAAAGCCGATTTTTCATTATTTTTTTCTAAGCGCTGTTTAATGCTAAAAATATATGTGTTATATCTCAAAAAATCACCCATCCTCTCTACTTTAATTTGATACCAAAGTGCGCAGAAATAAACGTACTAGTGTCGAGATATGACCGTTTATTTGAGAGTAAACTTGGACCACGCGACGCTCCTATAGAGGGCTTCTATTAGAGTATTTGCTAGAAAGATATTACTGTCATTAGAGTTTCTATTTTTTTATGTTCATCTAGGCTTCTCACTATCGAACGAACAACGTCTTGTTGACGATGGGCAACGATTTCAACTATCAACAAGCCAACAAGTGGTACCGAAATCTCGACAAGCTCGTTGCATACATCAATGCTAATGTGATTTTAAAACAATCTAGTACAAGTACAGCCATTAGCAAGTACCTAGTTTCAGCCAAGCTTTGGAATGAACGTCCAGTACTCGACTCCAGCCTGTTACGCGAATGCTCTCCAAGCAACACCGACCATTTGGGGATCAAAACAAGACGATTTCTTTCCGTATGTAAATTTGAACCTTTAAAATTGCATGCCAGCCAGCCAGCCTTTTTCACTTATTTTTCAGATATGCTTCTGGTGATCACAGCTTCTGGACTGGGTATTTCACCTCAAGACCGGCTTTCAAGGGAATGATTCGTCAAGCTAGTTCGTATCTCAATGTAAGTATACAAAAAAAGTAATAATTCAATTAATTAGTTCAGTGAGAATACTAGATAATAAAGTAAAGAAATGAATGGAAAAGAAGCTAGCAAAAAAATGCGTTGACAAACCATTTACATAGTTTGTTATAGTTGGGCAAACAACTGACCGCTCACTTTAATTTGAACGACGATGCCGCTTTGGAAACAGCAAAGAGAGCCAGCGGACTTGTACAACATCATGATGGAGTCAGGTAAACAAAAATTCATTCGTTAAATACGCAGGACTGAGTCATCAGTTATCAATACCAGATTTTTAGTGGAACAGCCAAGCAAGTGGTCACTTACGACTACCAACAGCGCTTGGACAAGGGAGTGAGACAGCTTGAGGTGGGCTAAGCTTATGAATGTATTATATTATATATTATACCAGCCGGAAAACCCTCTTAACGGCGGGTTTTTCTGGATGTTTTGGGCAAGAAGCAAAGAGTCTTTGCTTGGATCTACTTGACATAAATAAGGCTCAGATTTATTGAAAGTTCAACTAGAACGTGGTAAGAGCAATGCATTAAGTTGGCTGCGGTGAAAACAATGACTGCAGGCAGGGTCGAACCCGTAGCTTCGGATTTGGGGACAGACGCTCTGGCAATCCGCCATGAGGGTACATTGAATTCGATACTTTCCCGCGCCCTTTCCTCTCAAGGGCTGTCTGTGCTGCCCTTGAGGATCCTGAGAGGCCCGACTATCTAAGACCAGCCGGGAAACTGTTTTTCCGGATTTTTTGGGCAAGAACGGCTTTTGTCCCCATGGCGCAGTGGATAGCGCGCCGGTCTATCGTCCATACGATCCGGGTTCGACCCCCGTATACGACTCCAATTTTGCTTTTTAAAAAATCCAAAAGCACGTTGCACAACTACATTGAATTCCCTATTCAACGGCGCAAAATTCATTGCAAACGGTCCTCTGGGAGCTGAGGAGTAGCGCTCACAGACAGACGGGCAGGCAGACGGACAGATAGACGGGCAGACAGACGGACAGACAGACGCCTTAGTTCCTTTTAATATAGTAGATTATAATTTCTATTATATTATATTATAATAATGGTACTTTACCGTTATACCTCCCCATTTTGTGGCGTTTTTTGGCGACATATTGAGCCGAAGAGTTAGTAGTAATGTCCTGAATTAAGACAAGTAGAAAAATCCACAATAAGCGCTAACCTTGAGCTTTGCATCATAGGATTCCTGCAAAGAACTTGCCATTTTTTCATTGTAATATTGAGTCAAATGAGTTCCAGATTTCAATAGGATATAGAGGTAGAACATACCGTAAATCCTGTAATAGTACCCCAGCCCCATAATGACGGTGCTGAGTGTTGCGTAGTCGAGCTTTGAACGAGTTTTTCTCGACACTGGTTTATGCTATAATGCGCGCTTGGGTATCAAAAAATAGCCCTGAATTTCAGCTATTTTTTGATACCAAAGACGCATTTTTTTGAAAGTACGGGCGCTTTGAAAAGCAATGAAATACTAAAAAACTTTTGCGACTACGCGACCGTACGAGGGGGGTGGGGTACTATTACAGTATTTACGGTAAGCATTTCGCCCTCGAAATTTCTTCAATGCTTCGATCAATTGAGACACGTTTTAGCCTATTTTGTAGAGGAGATTTACGACTTTCAAATAGTTTATAACATTCATCGATTCTAGTTTATAACATCAGGTTTCTATCGTTGGAAATTTATGAAAATGTCGAAATCTATGAAATTCGCATTTCTTATGCATGTACCTAATATAATAGAATCAACAGATTATAATTTAAAATGTTAGACGATGATCAACGATGCTGTGAAGAAGTCCTCAACCGGAACTCCACCCACTTACACTTTGTGCCTTTTGAGCAACGAGACTGTTTGTGATGTCAGCCAGTGGGTTTAGGAAAAAAGAAATTGATAAACCAGCTAAGCAGGAAACAAATCTCAATACTCTGAGTGTTAGAAATTGTTAGAAATTTAACCGTTAGAAATTTTACAGTTACAAGAATATAGAGAGCACAGGAAAACAAAATTTGCACTTCATATTATCAGCAACAACTCTAAACCAATTTTTCATCGATCAGCTACAAATTTTTAGAAAATCTGGAAGCTATGCCGTTACCATATTCAACCCAATCAGCAGAACTGTGAGCTCGTTCGTTCGAGTTCCTTTCTATCACCCAATCGCCTCAGTCGCCGATGATACTGGAGCTGCCGTCAAAGTGCAAGTAAGTGCTTATTGCAAGTAAGATTTATTGGAAAATTTCAAGACCAATAAATTTACTTTTAGATTGTTCCAACGTTCTCGATTCCTCCTTTATCCTCGGCCAACATTGCCCCTTATGAGCTCTACATTCCCGTCCTACTAGATCCAGCCGGTTTCAGGACTTATTTCGTTTCTGGAAGTGGAGTGTCTGGAAGGTGCAAGAATGGTTTTCTTTGAGCAGTAGAAATTTAGAAAACCGTAGCATTAAGCATTTTAAAGCTTGAGCCAAAGCTTTTGAGCCAAAGCTTTTGAGCCAAAGCTTTTGAACCAAAGCTTTTGAGCCAAAGCTTTTGAGCCAAAGCTTATTTGAGCCAAAGCTTATTTGAGCCAAAGCTTATTTGAGCCAAAGCTTATTTGAGCCAAAGCTTATTTGAGCCAAAGCTTATTTGAGCCAAAGCTCATCGTTTTCTAGGCCACCAAAACAAAGCAACGCGGAACTTGCCTACCCGGAAAAAGTGATTCAACCAAGTGAAGCTGATACGGTTTCGATCGAAAACGATGTAAGCTCTAGTCTTAAATGATCTTAAATCCCAAAAGAATCCCAAAAGAATCTTTTGTTTAGTATGTTTCTCTTCAATTCGACGCAAACGGCTACTTGTCTTCGGTTCAAAACAAGAAATCGGGAACTCGTCGCAATTTGAAGCAAGAGTTTCTCTATTATGAGGTAAAAGAAGATAATCTATGCAAATCTATGCAAAACTAGCATATTAAACCTAAATCAGTGCCTATTTAAAGCTTTTGTAAAATTTTAAAGAGTCTGTTTGTTGTTTAGAGCAGTGCCAACTCTGCTCAACCCTCTGGTGCCTACATTTTCCGGCCAGCTGCTCAAACGACGAAAACTTTGAGTACATCAATTACTACTACCGTTGTCAAGGTTGGATTTGCAGTGTGACATTTACAAGTTCTGAACAAGCGCAGATCCAGTTATTAGCAAAGCTAGATTGCCATTGGCAAAGTTAGATTGGTCGTCTAACTTTGAGCCCAAATATCATGGTGTTAGACTGTTCAATTTAGATATTCTTGGTTTCATTAGATGCGCCAAGTCTTTCTCTATCGATTGGTAAGAAAACTATTCCAATTGAACAGCCCAACACCAAGAAATTTGAGCTCAAAGTTCGATTGTCAATGGCAAAGGGGGCGGGGCGCGTATAAAAGGTCGCACAATCTTGTAGCGACCCTGGTTTTATATCACCGCATAGCTGTGCTGTTAAACAATAAAAATATTTCATTTGAGATTCAATCTATCTAGCGATTCTCTTAGAAAGCTCTTTTTTTGAACTTTTTATTATTCCAAAAACATTCGTAAAGTCTCGTACAAATTTTTACTGGCGACACTTTTAGGGCGCCTCGGTGCAAGAGGTGAGGCAAAAGGTGACCGACTGGGCTTATCAGACGATTCGCCTCTACACTGGACAGCCACAAATTGAATTCGATTGGGTCATCGGACCGATTCCGAAAGAAAACAGGCAAGAGAGTTTAGCAAAATATAAAGTAAACAAAAATCTTCAATTAAAAAAAACTAAGCCATTTTAATTACCGTATTCTCTCTAATAGTAGTGCACCCTAAGCTTCGCCTAAATTGCTCGAAATCTCGAAAAGCGCTTATCAGAACCTATCGATGTGGGGTCGGAAAATGTAGCTGACGATGAGATCTTGTGGGGGATTTGAGTGTTGAGCTTCTGTTAGAACTTTGAAAGCCGTAAAATAGTCACTAACTCGGCTCAGCGCGGTGCACTATTATTAGAGAAAATACGGTATTATTTGCCTTATTACTGGCTTGACTTGCATAAAGTCCCTGCTAGAACCTGGCTCACAGGTTTGATTGAAATATCTTTGGCTAGATACCGTATTTTCTCTAATAGTAGTGCACCCTAAGCTTCGCCTAAATTGCTCGAAATCTTGAAAAGCGCTTATCAGAACCTATCGATGTGGGGTCGGAAAATGTAGCTGACGATGAGATCTTATGGGGGATTTGAGTGTTGAGCTTCTGTTAGAACTTTGAAAGCCGTAAAATAGTCACCAACTCGGCTCGGCGAGGTACACTATTATTAGAGGGGTACTATTAGAGAAAATACGGTATTTAAGAAGTACAGTATCCCTTTAAACCTGGTTCAAATTAAAACGAAAGCTGAAGTTATGATTTTTCCTACTGTTTCGAAAAATTTTAAAGGATTTTAGGGATTTTGGAGGATTTTGAAGGATTTTGGAGGATTTTGATAGATTTTTTAGTACAAGATGACATCCATAAGTTACGAATCTAGTAATTTTTAGCAACCCAATCGGAAAAGAGATCATCACTCGATACACAACGGATATCAAAACAAATGGACTCTTTTGGACGGATGCAAGCGGAAGACAAGTGCTCCAGAGAACGTTTGTGCTAAAAAGTTTGCTTGAGCTCTATGAGAGATCTCTAGTTTGCTGCAAAAGCTCTATCAAATCTCTAGTTTCCTGCAAAAGCTCTATCAGATCTCTAGTTGTCAGTCTAGTTGTTAAATAGATCTAATATTACAATGAGAATTAGCTTTTTTATAAAACCATTCAGATGGGACTCCTATCCACAATTCCAATATGAGGACACTGAGCCAATTGCCGGAAATTATTACCCAGTCGTCAACCGGATCTACATGAAAGATAATACAAATCAATTGACTGTGCTGACCGATCGTGCGCAAGGAGGAATGGCCAGGAATGGAGCGCTTGAATTGATGGTACAAATTGCCTAAGCTATACAAAGAGATAAGATCTTAAAGGAAAATAATACCTTGCATTGTTTAGCTTCATCGTCGTTGTTTCCACGACGATCATTTCGGTGTCGATGAAGCTTTGGATGAGCCTGGAAAAGACGGAAAGGGACTAGTTGTTCGTGGACAACATTGGGTTCTTTTCGATGAACCGGCGGTTGGTTGAACTCGTTGTCATAAAACGTTGAATACGGTTAATTCATGGATAAACAAAGCTATAGATTGCGGCAAAATTATGAAACAACAATTAATGGAGACTCCTTAATCATAAATTTTCTCAACGGCCAACAATTTATTCATCAAAAGAAACAAATTAATTACAATATAACAATTTTTAAATCTCAAAATGACCACCATTTGCAGCAAGACATTTCTTAAAGCGCTTGGGAAAATCGGCGATTGCTTTTTGGAAATCTTTATCGAGTATCGAGTTTCATGCATTAACCAAGTCGCGCTTCAAAGAGTCGATTGATATCTGGGATTTAGCACAAGTCTTTGCCTCCAGAATGAACCAAATAAAATAATCGAGAGGGTTGAGGATCAGGCGATTCGATGGCCATTCACTAGGAGTCTGTGAGCTGAAATCAACGGTGATCTAATATGGAAAGTTCTTAGCGATCCACATAGCGATTTAGCAGGTGCAAGACGCTTCAATTTCATTGGATCCTTCAGACTTTTACATCTTTTCTGGCTTTGATTCCTTTTTTTTAAAGAATTCGTCGAACAGAGCTATCTGAGATTCCAATGACCGCCATTTTCATTCCGAGTTGAGTTCTTTGCAGTCGTTGGGTTACGTTTAAGACGTTCAATAATCGTTTAAGACTTGCTTTCATCGCTGGGGCGTGGTAGCTGTTTTAGGACATCCTCTCCCAACCCGATTGTCGTTGTTTGTAACGTTTGATGGCTTTTGGAACGACCGAAAGATCTTTCAAAAGATCGGCCATCTCCATCACTTGTTTTCCTTCCTCAAATAATCGGGAGCAAGTTCTCTTTGCTTCCCGGGAGCAAGTTCTCTTTGCTTCCCGGGAGCAAGTTCTCTTTGCTTTCCATATCTAATAACAGAGCGTTTAATAATACTTAACAAAACAATACAAAACAAAACAATACAAAACAATACAATACAAAACAAATGAAAAAAACAACGCGAAACAGCTGATTGCTCGTTCCATAATTTCGAAACAGCTGATTGCTCGTTCCATAATTTTGCCGCAACCTGGATATCGTCAAAGTCATGATTCTTCGGGGTTCTTCAAAAGCTGACTTTTCATTTTAGCCATCAGCATCAACCCATCGCCCACTCGCCGTCAATCTCTTCCATCGTCCGATCGCCGCTTATGCCACCGTTGCCGATCCTGTTGCTTACCGACAAGCAACCAAAACCAAGGTAACTAGATCAACAAGAATTAAGCTTTTGAATCAGAGCAAGACTTGCTCTTGTTAACTATCAGTCAGATCTTGTCAGACAAGAAATGCAATTGATTTCAGTTTGCTGGCCTCAAGCGCGACCTTCCAGCCAATGTGAACCTGTTGACGCTGGAGAAGAGAAGCGATGGAATCTTGATGAGATTGGAGCATATCTTCCAAGCAAATGAGGATCCATCCCTTTCACAACCAGCCACGATCGATTTCTCGGTATGAACTATGCTCAAGAAACTATAGCTGTTCAAATTTTAATTTGCTAGTCAAGTTCTCAACTTGTTAAAGTATTTGTTCAAAAGTTTTTCTTTAGAATCTCTTCACCGGGTTCACGATTCAGTCGGTGCAAGAGTTGATGCTTGGAGGAAACAAAAATTCCACCGGAAAGTGTAAGTTTTTCTGTTTAAGTGAATAGAATAGAATTTATGACTTGATATACCAATTACAGTTTACTCAATGTCTCTTTTACAATAAATTTCAGCCACAACAGTCACTCTGAACCCCCAAGAGATTCGCACTTTCTCGCTCACCGTTTCCCCAATGGCCCCAAAAGATTATTAGATTTTTATATCTTTGTAAAATAATTTATTGCAGTATTGGAATAAACTTCGAAATTTAATAGTTAGACAAACAATCTGGTGATGTGGTTGATGCACTTCCTGTTGTTCCAGCACTTTCTGTTGTTCCAGCACTTTCTGTTGATGCTGATCCCTTAAATAGGTTGAGTTAGTCAAAATTTCAAAATTTCAAAACAATTTCAGTTACGCTAGACAACGACTTACAGTTGTTCCAATAGATTCAGTCGTTACAGTGGTGTCGTCGCAAGGAGTTGTTGTTGATCCAACGGTCCCCGTCGTTCCTGTGGTGTCTGTCGTTTCCCCAGTAGTCCCTGTCATCCTAAAATTTGCAACCTATACTGTATCCAAAGATAAACTTCAAATTTAACATAAAGCCTAATTTAGATCTTGTCTTGCAAAATGTGATATTGTATAGTTCTTCCGTACAGAATGGTTAAATTTAAAGTTGAACTTCACGAGGAGTCTAGCTGCACTCAGCTTGAGCTTGAGCTACACTCAGCTTGAGCTTGAGCTACACTCAGCTTGAGCTTGAGCTGCACTCAGCTTGAGCTTGAGCTGCACTCAGCTTGAGCTTGAGCTACACTCAGCTTGAGCTTGAGCTGCACTTAGCTTGAGCTTGAGCTTGAGCTTGAGCTACACTCAGCTAGCTCTATTTAACACTAATAATAAAAAATCTCACGTTGTTGGCGTTTCGCTTTGAGTACTTGTGGTTTGGGTTGGGAAACTAAAGCTTGCTTTTGAGAAGAACTGTTTGAAATTAAATATTAGTGCAGTAATGTTACTAAGGACTAGTTGACGGCGACGATGTAGCAGACGATGACGATGTAGCAGTGGTAGGCAGCTCGGAAGTGGTTGGCTTAAAAAGAAGTGTTGATTTTCAAACAACAAATCTTATCAAGTCAGCTTTCAATATTCACCTACCCCTTCTGTTGGCAATTGCCGACAAACATCGGCAATCAGCTCAACGATATTCTCAAAATCGGACATTTGTGGACTTGAATAACCCGAGATTGGACTCATATCAACTCCATCTAAAAACAATGGAATTCAATTTCAATAATCAAGTAAAAACCATTCACATGAATAGCCAGTGTACGATATTGTTCAGTGTAATTGGATCCGGCAATCCGGATCAGATTTTGAGGGCTGAAAATTTGGTAAGAGATTCAAGTTCAAACTCTGTGCTACCTAGCTGTGTAGAGAACGATCACAGCATTGTGGATTTCCCATCGGTTAAGCTTGGCTGTTGCGCTAAACTTTTTATTGATTTAGCTGATTTCTTAGATGATTTAGCTGGTTTCTTAGAAAAATACTTTCAAAGAGCTGACAAGGGATAGGTTAAGAGCTGAGCTTTTTTTGAAGTCAAGCTGACTTTTCGTGTTGGTGTTGGCCAACAGTTCGTGTTGGTGTTAGCCAACAGACAAGAAGTTCTTCTAAACCCACCCCACGATCGTTTCCTGTCCCTTATCCGATTCCACTTCGGCAACATTATCGAGAAAATCTTGCTTTTCCGAGTAAAACCAATTCGGAATCGGTTGATCTTGATCTCCATCTCCGTACAACCAAAAATTCGAATTTGTATAAACGGCACTCGATGAATAAAGGATATTTCCTGTGGTGGCGATTGAGGTGATCTCACCGCGGAAAGATGGCTGAATTGTGTTATATTAGAGTACTTACGAGATTGTTAGGATTTGTACGAAAGGCACATAAAGCTCTTCTTTTATTTACAAACGGCTGAGCTATCACTGGAGCTGCCTCTTCAAAAAAATCTTGCAACCCAATTTTTAAGAGACCAGAACTCTGCGATAGATAGAAATCAAAAGGCAAAGTTTTTCTTCGTATTCTAGATTCTTTGTATTCTAAATTCTTTGTATTTATGTAAATTCGTGAAGCCTAATTTTAAATTGAACGCTATTTGAACGCTAATTGAATTGAGCCTAATTGATAGAGTGTGTTCCTCGCGAGTAAGTAATTACTCGAGTAAAATTTGCATGAGCAATTACTCGAGTAAAATTTGCATGAGCAATTACTCGAGTAAAATTTGCATGAGCAATTACTCGAGTAAAATTTGCATGAGCAATCTCTACTCGATTAATCGGCGTTTTTGGTCTACGAGTAATGAATCACTACGAGTAATCCTCTTTACACGTCGAGTAAATTGAATATCTTTACATTTGAAGGGAATTTGCCACCAAATCAGTTGAACGATTGAATATCTTTAAAAGGAGATCTTTAAAAGGAGATCTTTAAGAGGAGTCGTATATAAGGCGGCGCTCGTGATTTTTCGCTAAAAGGACGGTAATTTTTCCTAAGGGTGCGTTTTAAAAAAGGCATTACTTGCGAGGAACACACTCTACTAATTGAAGGCTTCTCAAAACAAACCCAATAACTTGAGCCATCGATCACGAACAATACATAACATGTGTCAAAGGCTGAAACGAAAGCTTTCTGTTTTTTTTTTGCGTCCAACTTACCAAAACTTGTATTGAAAAGCAAAAATAGGAGAACTATAGCTTTTTGGTGCATTTCAAAGCAGGAATCTCAGCGAATGATTGCTCAAACAAAAATTGTCGTGCTTTTACAATCTTGAAAGCAGGAACCTCAGCGAATGATTGATCAAACAAAAATTGTCGTGCTTTTACAATCTTGAAAAGGATCAGACGAAGTGTGATTTTTATTTGTTGATACAGTGTTTTATTGCTTGAACCATGTAAAAGCCGTGAATTGAGGAAGTGACAGGTTTGTAGGGGTCTATTGGAAATTGATGCGATGATAAGAGTTTATTGGGTGTGAAGTCATTTGAAATGTTCGCGATTTCGAATTTCGATTGGTTTTGTCAGATGTGATCTCAAATAAACAAGCAGTTTTCGATTCGAAAATTAAAAAAAAAGATCAAGGCTTTCTGAATATTTACAGGGTGCGTCATAATTATTGCAACAAGAGTTCAAAGACCGTTTGTGATGTCAAGAATGTGATGTCATGGGCATCTAAAGCCAATAACAATCAAAATTGGATCTTCATGCAAGATGGAGCTCCCGCTCACACGAAGAAGATGGTTCAGGACTGGTGTGTGGCCAACTTTCCCTCAGTGATCACCAAGGATGAATGGCCTCAATGTGATGGACTTTTCCATTTGGGCAATCTTAGAGGCTAATGTCTGCTCTCGAAAACACACAAGTTTGGATTCTTTGAAGAAGTCTTTGACCTTGAGGAAGTCTTTGACCAAATGATGGAAGGCGACTCCTCAAGATGACATTCGGGCCGCAGTGGAGGCATATCCGAACCGATTAAGGGCTGTTATCAAGGCAAAAGGCGGTCATATCGAATGATCTCTTGTTTCCTTATTTGTTACTGTTAAATAAAGCTATTTCTGTTTAAAAATCTTCTTCCAGTGAAACTTCTTGGTGTGCAATGCCTTGAGTATCTTGTTGCAATAATTATGACGCACCCTGTAGTTTTCGTAAAGTGTTAGGTTGTTCAGTTATATATGCGCGTTTTTGAGGGCTTATTCCAAATATTTCTGCAAGTAGTTTGTCGAGGATCAATTTCGATCGCCCCTTTAAGTACTGCATTATCGATCGTAGGAGGCCGGTGGTCCTCATCTCCCAAAAATTCATTTCCTTCTCGAAATCGTTGAAACCATCGCCGACACTGGCTTTCCGAAATAGCATCTTCCAAAATACTTTCCAAAGGTCTTGATGAGATTCAGCGGTATTTTTGCCCAATTTGAAGTCATACCAAAGATTGGTACGCAGACAAAACTTCGTGCCGTTCACAGAAACCAAATCTAAACACAGAAATTAAGTCAAAAATTGGTTTGACGTCAAAAACACGAAAAGTTGTAATAAAATAAGAAATCCTGAAAAGTATGTAGAAAATTGGGTTTGATAAAATTGTAAAGCTCTAAGGAATGCTGTTCAAGTTGTTCAAGGCGGCTGTAACAACTTGAAAACAACTTCAAGCAGGCGTGCATTCACAACTGGACAAGCTAATCTTTATTTGCTGATAACTAAACGTAAGAAAACTGAGCTAAAATGAAAAATTCTTAGCAACTTTACAGTGATGCCGGGAAAAAAAAAGCCACGTTTTGCCAAAACTCTACACCTAAATTTGAGCTACTAAACGCCTTCCAAATTCTATGCTGTCAAAAGGTTTTAGATAGCAAAAAGCCGTACTTTTCCGTTATAAATCCGTTAAAATAGCCCCTGATCATTTAATAATCAAAAATCGATCAATTTAATCAAAATCAAAAAAAAATCAAAATAAGATCAATGAGGAATCCATGCCGTAGCAACAATCATTCGTAGAAATCGTCCTTCCCCATTTCTTGTCGGATCATGAATTCAGCGAGGTAGCTCAAAAGGAAATGACATGCTGTGCCGAAAAGCTTCTTCTTTCTCCATTTGGCAGATCGCCATAGACGCTCGATTGACCGGTTAAGAACCGCTTTTTCTAGGGCAAAATTTAACGAGGAATTCGAAAAACGTGGTTTCGGAATGATTGGAGCTCGCTATCATAGTTTTAACAGGTTTCCATCCGCGAAATGGCGTCGAAACGTCGAAGCGTCGAAACGTCGAAGCGTCGAAACGTCGAAACGTCGAAGCGTCGAAACGTCGAAACGTCGAAGCGTCGAAACGTCGAAACGTCGAAGCGTCGAAACGTCGAAGCGTCGAAACGTCGAAGCGTCGAAACGTCGAAGCGTCGAAGCGTCTCCAAATTGTTTAGCAAGCTCGGCAAGTGATCTTCCTTGACTCTTTCCGTTGATGATCGCTTGCTGATTTCGCTCGTCTAAATCCTTAGATCCCTTACGCTTTCCCATGGCTAAATTAAGCAAAATTAACTATTAAAATAAGTCAATAATAAAGAGAAGACATAAAAAAACAAATATGCATAAGTTGAGTCTTCCAAAAAAAACCGATACGATCATTTGGTGGAAGCGCCCGTTTTAACGTCATTTTGCGGATGGAAACCTGTTAAAACCGGTTAGAACCTGTTAAAACCTGTTAAAACCGGTTTCTAGCGCAAAATTTAGCGAGGAATTCGAAAAACGTGGTTTCGAAACGATTGGAGCTCGCTATCATAGAGAAAAATTCATTCTGAAAGTTGAATTTTTTGCTGAATTTTCAGTGGTCATCCTTGAAGGGCTGAAATGCTTCAAAAACTGATCTAAACTAAAATACAAAATATACCATTCGCTAGATCTTGAATTGAGCTTTCAGAATATAGATGGTGTTCGGGGTAACTCCCATGTTTAAATACCGAAAAAAGGGCTTGAGGATGGGATTTTTGCGAGGATATTATTCTGTTCGGTACTTTATGTACCCGAAACTTTTAATCACAAATACCATCACAACAGTTGATCTTTCCAATACGTATCAATAACATTTACGACAAGCTTGCAAACGACGAAAATGAAAAAGAAATAAAAATAGGCAACTAAGCCACCATAAGAAATGGCACAAGTTCATCATGAATAGCACAATCGATAACTGGGTGAACAAGCCGCCACTCTCCGACACATCATAGCCCATATGTGGAAGACAAATAAAGATGATGATAGCCTATAAAGGAGAAAATTCTATTCGGTGAAGTTTCTTGAAAATAATTTTCCAATTCCCCACCAGATAAACGATAAAGGTGAACATGAATTTCGCTTTTTTCAGTAAAATTCCCGCAATACCGATCGAAGTGAAAGCAATGTAGGTGAGAAAAAGTAGAATTCCGTAGATAGTATGAATTTTTGAGAAAAGGCTGTTCCAGAGGCTGAAAGAGAAAGCTTTTTTTAAAATGTACTTCACTAAACCTGCTCTTGCTACTATCCAAATGAACAAGTGTCCAAGTGATTGCATAGAAAAGGATATACAACACAGTGTAGCTGATGAGAAAACTCTGAATTTTAACTTGAAAGCGGATAATAACATTACTAACTTTGTGCTTCATTCTCGTCGTTGACCAAGAACCACGTTGAAGTGTCTGAAAAAGTTTTTGAAAGAATTTGAACTTCAAGAAGTTTGTCTAAAACATTTTATTAATCGTTGAACGTCATACACAAACATGTGGAGCTTCTGGTGGTCGAGTGCACGGCAACTCTCTCACTTGAATATTGTTGTAGACATTAATAATGTTGATGTTGCGGTAATCTAAAAAAAATAAGTGCTAGAATATCTAGAAAAAAATCAAACCACTGAAGTGAGAAATCGTTTCGTAATCATTCTCAGCTAAGCCAACGGGAAGCGCTAGGTCCAAATAAGCCACATGATCCATCAAGAAAATATCCCAAAAGTTGATTGTAGAACAAAAACGAAGGCTAAATTGAACTTTAAACTTCCAAAATACATTTAAAATCAGTTTTTATCCTTTACTATGCATAGTTATGCACAAAAAAAAACACAAAAATAATGAGGGGACAAATTTTGGTACTTTGAATGCATCACATTTTGTTTGGAGGAGCCACCTAAATTTTTTATTTCCTCACTTCCTTACTAGGGATCATTGTTTATTTACCATCGAATTTCAACGTGCGACCTAGCCTATTTTGTAGCAAATTTTTCGCTGATCCCGAATATCTACGCCATTTTTATGTGATGGGTTCAAAATTTCGATTTAAATCCGTTTGAAGTTTTTGTGTAAAAAAAAAAAGCAGTTTTTGCGTGTTGCGCTATTTCTCTGACCGCGCGAGTATCAAGCGATCTTGCGTTCATCAAAGGTACGTCATTGTGGCCAAGTGGTAAGCGCGCTAGGCTCTCAAAATAATCGCTAGGCTTTTTGGCCCTGGTTTGAGCCCGGACTTGGGTAAAACTTTTGCTTTTTGTAAAAAAATTTTTTAGTATTTAATAAATTTTCTTGTTTTTATAAATTTTCTTGTTTTTATAAATTTTCATAAGTGTTTATACGTGCTTGTTTGTTGCTTTGTATTATTTTTTTTAAATAAATCACGTTTAAACTATCAAACAAGGTCATGAAATAAAGTTTTTCAAACTTAAACTATTGGGTTGGTGAATTGAAAACTGCGGGACTTTGAACTAAAATTTATTGAACATAAAACCATCAATTCATTCCAAATAATTTCCATTATTATTGACGACTTCTGCCCATTTTACAGGCAATTTGCGGATTCCTCTTTCGTAGTAGGATTTTGGTTTGTGTGTGAGACAAGTGTGAGACTCAAAAATAGAGGACTGGAGATGGAGACTGGAGATCCCAGTTTGAGCACTTTCTTCAAAAGAAACCCATTTTGGTGTCAATAGAAAAGTTGTAGAGAATCAAAAATTAGGCTTATAGACAAATTTCCAAAAAGATACACTTAGTAGTTTCGCTTAAAATGCAAGTTTTGTTGCAAGTTTTGTGAAAATTCGTAACTTTCGCATTTCTTGAAAACCAGTTTTTGAATCGTTCTGAAAATTTGGATATAGGCTTAATTTTTGGTTCTCTACAACTTTTCCATTGACACCAAAATGGGTTTCTTTTGAAGAAAGTGCTCAAACTGTCACATATGACAATAGCCCGCAGTTTTCCATTCACCAACC